CACCACAGCTCCCTTGGGAGAGTGACGGGTCACTCTCATGTAACCCCGTTACAAGGAGAGAAATGAATGGCGCATAGCCAGTTGTCCCATGGCTTTGCGTTTCGGGTCTGCTATGACTAGAATAAGACGAAAATATTGTATTTGGATCCAAGGCTAGACAACGCTTCGCGCTGTCAAAAATCCACATATTCTACTTGAACCTTTAACATAACCTTCGACAAGTTTACAAGTCTCCTCGTCGCAAGACACACACAATTGCATCCGTATTTGGCATCTGCATCGTTTGGTAAGTTCTACAGCTGTTTTCGACAGCCGGGGTCGTACGGAAAGTGCTCGATACTCCTGTTTTTCATGGCTCTCTACGGATCCATAAATTTTTCGACGTTGAAACCAACAAAGTAAAACCATGGGATGTGAGCCCCACAATTCTTTGAGAAATTCGCCCATTTTAGGGCCAGCTCGTCCCCCGCGACGTCCATGAGGTACGTAAACATTCCGTCTTCCAGGAATCCAGCCTGTGCCAGCTGGGTAATGACGTCTTCCTGTGGAGAGCTTTCAACTGCGCGGAAGCCCAACAATTTGTACTTCTCAGCCGAGAGCTCAAGGCGCAGATGTTTTATTTTCGGGAATACAAAACGTCTGTGGGTATCGGTAAGCTGCTCAGCAGATTAAAGATTTCTCAGCATTGATGAGGTGTATTGACTTTGGCTCGATTGTTGATCCTTAATTTCAAACCCATTATCGTGCTCTAGCGGCAGCGATGTTGTAATCCGCATTAAAGGTGATGCCTACCGCATTCTAGAAAGAGGTATGGTAAATACGGAAGGTTTGATGCGAGCCGCACATGTTTTATAGGAAGGTGATAACCGTTATGGTTTTCAGAATGCCATTGCAGCGATTATAGTTCTTAACTCCTGGACACTTACCGCTAATTTTGCCACCTTTGACGGGTAGCTAAAAGGTTCAAACAAATCCGATGCGTATGGTTAATTGGTGCAGATGCCCGCGACTTCTATCGTTCCAAAATACTCACGATGAAGTCACCTCCTTTACGGTTATATTGCGCATGCGTGTCTATCATCGCGTTTGACATCTCAACTTGCAGATCGCAAGCGCGAAGTACCGTAGCTAAATTTCAAACAAGGCTAGATCCAGGTCTACTTTAGTTTTCTCATTCAAAAGGATAATTTCGGTTCCGGCTCACAAAGGATTGGACGCCAAACATTAGCTATATCGCGGTAAGATCGTTATGTTTTTCCAATTGCAATCTTTTTCGAGCGTGCCCCACCTTTTTTTAAAGCGGGTGAGCGCCTTTTGGCGAGTAATTCATTGATGTCATTGGACTCAAAATAGGCAAAAGATTATTAAGCTGCTCTTCTTGTTCCGGGTAAAAGCGTTCGAACGAATGATGTTCCATTTGTGTTTCAAATCTATTCTATTTAAACATATACGATATATATGAGTCAATATTTTACATGATAAACCTGATTTCTCTGAAGCGCCTCAGACCCCATTTTTGGAGCTCGTTCATCCTTGTAATATAATCCCGAAATCCCGGTACTTTTGGATCTTTGTTAGATGTAATGGGAATTTTGTACATGGCGTGTAATGGTAAAGTACACAATAACGGTGCTTGCCCCGTTATAAGTTTGCCGCGATGAATTAATGTCTCCGCTCGCAATAGTTTGATCAAAATTAGAGTTCGAGACGTTGTGAAAACTTTTCAGCGTAAATCGGCAGGTCATAGCTATTTGGATTGTAATTACTGCATGATATATGATTAGCACAATTTGCCGAAAAATATTTGAATCTATAGATATGCGCTTGAAAAGACTTTTCGCTACATAAAAGTTGCTCTTAATTGACTTCCGCATCAAGTATGTTATAACCACAGATACTCTAAGAAACGGTTGATTAGACAGCGAGCTCAGTGGCGCTCGTGACACAAATGTAGTTTTTGTATATTTAATTCGTAAAGATAACTCTTCCACAGTTTGTTATACATTCTTTATTCAACAGGTCCGAAGTTTTGCTTGCAAATTTGACAGCTTTATTTATATTGGCTGCATTCTTTAAGCGCAATAAAGCTTTAACGCGAGTTAGGTCACGTCTTGGAGCGACTGGAACTTACAATCCCTTCATCCAGAGTTGAAGGAATTGAAGAATGACTGAAAGCCATATGTAAAAGGGTCGAGCCTTAAATGTGAGAAAAGGCTCACACATTGAGGGTACTTCGGAGTCACACTAC